TTTTTATTTTTCTTTCTTTTTTGCTTCTTTGAGCTATGAAAAGAAAGCTCTGTTCACTCTAAACCGGAGCTCAAAGCTGTCACACTCCACCCCATAAATCTAGCGCAAATATGGGAGCCACCTTAGTCCTTTTCATACCAGCCCCTCCTTCCATGTCAGATTTTCTTCTCCGTCTTTGGCCTTAAACTGCATGTGCCCACACACACACACACACACACACACACACACAGGCTGTCGCTTGTGCCCCTGAGCAAACATCAGCCTGTGTCTGACCGCGGCCCCTCACGTTTTCTCCTGATGCACCTCTCTCTTGCGTCACACGCCCATTCCTTCCCTCTAAGCTCAGCTGTGGGCTCTGTGTGGTTTTATTGAGAATTCATTGCCCCAGTGCTCTCCGCGTCTTTGCTTAAGTTCATCTCACTCACCCGCAGCAGCAGTAGTGGAAAGTAACTCATTAAGTTTTACAGTCTTCAAAGGATGCTGGGGTCCACAGGCCCGGCTCCGCTCTGGTTTCAGATGTCACAGAAGCTCACACGTGAGCATCCACACCCTTCTTGTAAAACCCTGTATGGAAAATTAGTCTAACTGCGGGAGGCTGGGTAAGAAAACGTCTGCCCAGAGAGGCCCTTTTCCAGGGATGGGAAGCGTTTCTCTGACTGGGATGCAGAAGTTAATCCTTTATTTCCTCTCCAGTATCACGTTGCAGCTCTGCAAGTCACCAACAGGCTCCGTTTAGGACCGGTCTGATGCAAAATCCTCTCGACACCTGCAGTTTATGCCAGAAGATGGCAGTGTAGGTCCACACTGAGTGTGCACAGTGTGTTACTCCCAAAATCTGGATGCTCAAAGCAGCCCGTAATTTGCAGGTAATGTTTTGGTTTGGAGCAGAAACGTTCAGAATTTATCTGCAGTTGGGGAATCAGCAAGTTGTTTGCCCAAGCCTTTGAGCCAACCTTATCATGCAGGTCACATTTTTCTCTTTCTTTTTTTAAGGTTTATTATTATTAAGGTTTATCATTATTATTATTGGGCAGGCTTTGAGCCTGGGGGGAAGTTTATTGGTTTCCTTCACCAATTCAAAGTTATCGCATACCACACATAACCAGACTATCTGTACTTGTATCTTGGGAACTGTGAGTTGGAAGCAGTGGGGTACAAGCTGTTTTTCTTCTTTTTTCTTTTCTTTTTTCAGCCCTGTGGCTGCCCGAGCGGGCGCTGTGCTCCCTCCTCTGTTTAGAGGACTGCAACACACCTGTCTTTCCTACCGTCATGTGACTAATCTCATGACACCAAAGGAGTGACCTTTACCACAGAGCTGTAGCCGTTCACAGGACTAAGCCTCATTGCCCCCCCCCCACCCCCCACCCCACAGGGCTTCAGGCCTGATGACAGTCGCATTCATTCTCACCCTGCTACGAACACCTTTTCACGGGTTATCTTACCTGTTTACTCCCTCCCTAATCCCCCTGCAGCCCCCCGGTCTTTCTCATTTAGGCTGTTGAGCATTTATCATAGTTGACCTTGCCCTTGGGCCTCAGGCCTCAAAGGTAAATAGCGGCTCTGTTTGTGCACAGGCTTCTTGCAACTGACAGACAGGTGTTTGGCGGCCAAAATGGCGAAGTATTGGATGGATAGAGACTCCTCTGCACAGGAAGGAATGCGAGGAGGAGGAGTGCAGCAGGCGCCTGGGGCATGCTGTGACAGCCTCCCACCCCAATGCAGACTCTTTTTCTTACATAATCCAAAGTTCCTTAATTTTAGCTCCTATTTCTGTTCTGTTTTTCTCCTCCTTAAACTAATCTCGGCGCCCACTTGCCTGGTTTGGTTCTTTTCCCTTTTCTCCTTTTTCATCCCCTTCATATTCCATTCCGGTCCATTCCTGCTGACATGAATCGACCAAGTATCCATGGCGATGGTGATTTATAAATGTCTGGACATGTCTGGTATTTCTCATCTCCTTTCTTTTTACAGCACCCCCCCCCCCTTCCCTCAGCAGCGAAAACATGTCCACATGTTTCTACTTTTTTAGGAAACATCCCATCGAAGTCATGATAAGGGTCCACCAACAGTTAAACATTTCCCAGTCCAAACTAGCATAGCTCTTAATTGGAAGCTGCCAGAATGCTGCGGTACAATTACCAAAGTATTTAGGCAGACAGGCTTTTATTTTTTACGTCCTGCTGTTAAATCACGCATGGATTTAAAAGCTTGTGTTTTTTGCTCACAAGTCAAACCAGAACAAATCCAAGTTCAACCAAACTGAATGTTGCTCTCTTCCCTCCTTTAGTTGGCTCCTCATCTATCTCTTCCCTCCTTTCTTCAGCCTGTGTGTGCAGAGGGCGATGACATGTCCGTGCTTGCAGCCCATCCCTTTCAGGAATGCAGAGCAAAGTGATGAAGCAAGGCAGTAAGAGGCAAAAAAAAGAAGAAAAAAAATATGGAGGCGAGAGAATAGGCAAAAAAAAAAGAAACTGGCACATCTTATTGTCATTTTCCGAGAGAGGGAGGATAAACCACCCGATGTGCCGCAGAAATGCCCGATTTAGTAGGTAGAAATAAAAATGTGAAGCCTTTTTTTTGTAGAAAGGTGCAAAGGTTCATTAAGTTTAACTTGGCTATCATTAGTTTGGCAAGTTGGAAGCTGCCTCCTCTGGCTCTGTTTGCCTGTCTAAAAACGCTGCAGGTGCCTGATGTAGGCTGCACACGCTCAGCCCTACATGAGCCCAGCGCAACTAAGAGAAGGGTAATTTATTTCTGGGCCCGGATGAAATGAGCTGCCTTTTCCTCCATTGATGCTGGTTTTCCTCTTTTGAAGCGGAGGGCAAAACCTTTGATGTTTCCATTACATTTGGTAAAGATAACTAGCCTTTTAATAAATTAGAAAGTTATAGCAGGTCACTGGGTTCAGTGTCTCCTGGCCCCGCTGACCTTTATCCGGGTCTATAGGCCTTCAGTCTTCACTGTTTTCACTGGCTAAGACCTTACCTAAACACACTCCCAAACCCAGAATGTAATATCAACAGATCCTAAACGGGAGCTTTGACCCTAGACTGAGAATTTCTTCTCTTCTTTTTTTTTTCTTCATTGACTTAGTTTTTTTAGCTTGGGTTGGGCTCAAGCTAAAAATCGTTTAGAACACCTATTTCCCCTCCACTAGCCCGAGACGGCCGAGCTTCCAGCTTAAAAGTGGCATCTGCCACATTCGTGACTCATCCGCCGCTCCCCCCGGGTCGCTGTTTTTCTTTCTCCCGTAGGCGGGATTTGCGGTCCGACTTTCAGACCCGACCTGTTTGGCCGGCCTTTCCCCTCGGCTCAGTGAGCGGCGAGGTTCGGGTCCCGTACGCCGCCCTCGCCATGGCCGGCTTTAGAGGGTTTGGATGCGTTTTTCGGTGCTCGGACCGCCGCGGGTCACCACTTTATTGGCGTGCGGCTCATAGCCCCAGAGCCCCAGATCCCACTCTGGCGGCCCGCCCCGGCTCAGGAATGCCTCCCCACACTTCCTGCTGCACCGTGACGTAAATCCGGCAGCGATTTGAATTTCTCACATTTTTTCCACCGAAGCCTTCTATGCTCGTTATCTTATCTCTTGGTCTGATCAACGCTTGCTATAGTCTGTCTACTGTTTGTTTTAGTTTTTTACTGGGTCAGATAAAGGTTTAACATACTGAGAAGTGCCAGTGACACCAGTGCTTTCATAACCTGCTGCTGTTTCTTTCCCCGCCGCCTTTTTCTTGTCAGTGGCCTGTTTTTTCAAGGAATCCAATTGTTTTCTTTTAATCTGGATTACCTTATCTTTGAGTAGTGTTGCATAATGTCTTCTTAAAAAAAAAAAAATTTGTTTGATGGCCATATAAACCCCACTCGACCCGTGCACTTAATGAAGTTAGAATTAAATGTTCTAAGGTACGATTATGTTTGACGAAGTTAACAGAGTCGGGCCGGCTTCTCGGTACTAAAAAGCCAGACTGTTGTCCAGTTTATGGAGGAGGGTCATGTGGTTTGATAAACTAATCTTCTGGTAAAAATAAACATCTTTAATGAGCGGAGATGGGCTTTAAAGTTGCATATCTTTAATTCGTTATAATCCATTCATGTCTTAAGGTGTGACACACATGCCTCATTTGTTATTTGATTACTCAGTAATCCCTCATCTCCGTGAATGCAGCTTGTACTCTGCAGCCGTGGTATATATGGCTGATCCAGACGCTGTGTAACTGAACAACTCTCAGGATTTATCTGCATGAAGGACTTCCTGTTAAATTCCCTTTGTTAACAGCGAACTCTTTAACTATTGAGCAGGTTTAATTGTGAGCGCTTTCGAGAAATGATGCTGCTCACGATGGGACGGCTGCGTCATTCCGACAGGCATAAACACGGCGCCGGTAATGGGCCCTCTGCAGCAGCACCTGGTTGGCAGACGAGTGACGCCACGCTGAGCCGGTACGCTGGGCGGAAAGGTGGCAGTCAGACAAAGGTTTGCTCTTTCTCCTCAGCGTCACAGACGGTGGAATGCGTCCGCCAGTTTCCATCCACGTCAGACGTTGTGTAAGAAATGCCGAGCGCGTGCAGCTGACTGCATCACCTCTGTCTCCACCTGCTCATATAAGCGCTCGGACGGCTCTGCAGGTGTGACCTGTCAGCCCGATAAAAGAAAAGGCCACTTAAGGCTCAGCCGACCCCGCTCTTTCATTTTCTGAGGCGGTGATTGTGGAGGCCCCAGGCCAAGCCCCAGTGATCTTCAATGGGACGTCTCCTATTTTAAGTAACCTCACGGATCCAATAGTTTGAGGGAAATTAGCGGAAAGTTCCCTAAGCATGGGATTTCCATTACAGCAACACACTGTTTTCTCATGATTCCTTGTGACGGCTTAAACAGGAAAATTACACAGTAGAAGCCTTTAGACGCATAGTAAATTCATGAAAGTTTTTTTCAATACTGCTCCCCATATGTTTAGCTGTGGGTTCATTTTTATTGGCACGGAAAGGAATATTGACTTTTGATAATTGGCTCTGACATAACCACCCCCGCCCCCCTCCGTAAACCACCCTCTGGTTATGGGTCCTTGCATCCCCTCTTGTCTGCTTACACAGTCATTGCTTTGATTGAGCTGCTTTGTGCATACCCAGGCGCACACATGGCATGCCCCCCCCCTCCTCTTCTCTTCTCTTTGCGCAGTTTTCTGTATTCTTTATGGGCTCGGTTAAGCACACTGGTGCTATAATTAGCACCAAGGAAAGAGTGCTCCGTGTTCTGGCCTATGTCTCATTGCCCACACCTCAGTATAAGCACGGTGGGCCTTTGGGTCACCCGTCTCCACCTTTTAATTTCGGGTACAGCACACACTCCCTTTTCAGCACACATGAAGTGGGACAGTCATGCAGAATGAGGTGCTTATTACATCAGCATTCCACCAGATAGACTTCCCTCAGGTTTTTCTCTTTCGGTTTCATGGGAGCTTTTAACATAAAGACTTCTCAGATGCTCCAGCATTCCCCTGTAAACATGTTTCCCTTGCATGCCACTTCACACACCCACACATGCACAAATGAAACCTGCGCACACACTCTCAGTCTAAGCACCGTCGTCAATCCCAAAACCCGCATAATCGCTTATCTGCCGGCTTTAACCAACACACTGAGGGCTTCACACAGCCCCCCGGATTCCACAGATAAGTGTGTTTTAAGTCCATCTCTGCTGCAGTAAGCTGCTGATCCAGTGCTTGCCACATCGGCAGCACCGACATCAACCTCAACCGTTTTGTCTGAGCAGAAATCAGGCTTGTTGTAGACAGCGGCAGACAATTATAGAGAGAGGCGACAAAAACAACCCGAGAAAGGGAGGAAAAATGTGCAAACCGACAAACAGAGGAGACAATAAGAGGGGATGTCTGTTGTGAGGCAGTAATTAGAGGGAAGAACTGAGAGGGAATGATAGTTTGGCAACTTTAGTTATAATCTCCCCATGAGTGGAAGGTCTTCCTATAGTCATTCTTCATATATTTTTGTTGATTATGTGCTTTGTGCTCGTTCATTATGTTGTTGGTGACATTTTAATTAGAATTTATCATGCTCCAATCATATCCATGTTTTAAGTCATATCTCTACTACAAAAAACTTTAAAACTCAAGCAGTCTGAGAGCAATTCTTGCTGTGTATTCAATGACATGAAAGCGTTCTCATAGCTTTGCTCTTAGCTTTAAAAAGGGTTTTGTTTGATTCCTCCGCAGGATCATTAGCTCTTGGCGATCATGTCTGAACACGCTAAACCGCTGTCATAGCTGGACTCCAGGTGAGCTGCAGACTCAAAAGGAGGAATGTCTGCATGCACACCGCATCTGGATGAAGGGACTCTGGTTTTTCCTTCGGCTAGATGTAGATGTTGAAGTGTTAATTTTACTTTCTATGGCTGTGCAAAAAGCAGTGCACAGGACGTTTTAGGGAAGTGAAAGCAAGAAAGGCATTCACAACTGTTCCCGTAAAGCAATTCCGTTCTGATGACACTTTCACTGATTCACAGGTTTATAACTGGTTTATGCATCCTGAGCAGGAGCAGCTTTTTCTTTTTTGCCGATGGCATGGCTGAAGTTTGTGTGTAGACCTGTTTACTCTGCAGCGGCTTGCACCTTTTTACTCATTGTAGTTGAGTTACTCGCTGACCACCTGTTGTTACATTGTAACTGCACTTCAGGGAGAAGGACGAACCACGGCCACATGAGCAGACTGTGACGTCACCACGACCCGCCCGCTCGGTCCGTTCCTCTGCTCTGATTGGACCACAGCGACAGGGAGGCGGGCTCTCTGAAAAGTCTCCTCATAAAGTTTTTCTTGCTCCTGTACAGTTAGTCACAAATCCCACTAGATCAAACCGCGGCGTTTCATGTTTCATGTCGGCCCGGCCATATAGCTAAGCTAAGGGACAGACTTTGACATATTTTCTTCATGTTTTAAGATATGGTCGGAGATTATTCCTCCTTCTCTAGAGATAAAACGGATATGCACCCTCAGAAAAACTCCAAAGGCGGACTGAGTTGCAAAATGGTGCTTCAGGCAGTCGGAAAAGTACTAAGGTAAAACACAGTGCTTGAACTTTCTACGTGTAGATACCGTAATACCTCAATGTCGAGGCTAGTGTTCCTGCTGTACTGCTGTTTATTTACCTGTCGACACCGAAGCCCTCCGTTCACAGGCAACTTGACTGAATTGATATAATGTTCTCTGGCAGCCCACCTAAATATCACGGGCTATCTTGCGAACTATTGAAGTCCACTGGTTTACTAATTTCATATAAAAATGCGTCGCTCTGTTGTTGTTAATCGAAGTGTAAAGGCGCGTGTTGTCTCTGTAGCTGTAGAATTGAACACGAACGGGGAGCCTCCGGTTCCGGGGTCCCGACAGTTAGCAGCCGGGGACGAGGGGGCACATGTAGTCTGAGAGTCTGAGCAACGCGACACCACCTCCTCTTGTCGAGTAATAAATTATTTAAGACACTCTGACATGTTTTTGGACATTTTTAGAATGAGTTATCTTCCATTAAGGATGACACTGTAATCTGATGAAAATTCAGATAGTCCTCCAAGTCTCACAGCATCCCACTCCCTCCATAAACTGAATCATAACTCAGGGAGGGAGTAAAGTACAAGCCTTCAGCATACTGGAATCACAGAGCTGTTGTTTCTTCAGACTGTAAACATCCTGACCCATATTTTCTGTGTAAATGCATTATTTCCGCTGCCATCTAAAGGTCATAATATAATGGAGCTAGATTAGTGCCGAAAGAATGCATGACCCAGATAGACTGGTTAAATGCGTTTGTGTGCTAAGCAATGTGAGCCAAATAACTGCCCCAGTCACAACTTTACTATATGTGGATACATACTATGTGCTGTCTGAGTAAAAAGTAGTCCATAAGAAAAGCCGTATACCCACACTATGTGGGTGGGTTTTTGTTCCCGGGGACAAACCATCATGTTAATGGTCAGATGAGGTTTCTTGCCATTCAAGCCTGAAACCAGGCTTTTGAAGCAGCAGCCCAAAGGGTTTGCACATTTTTTTGACAGTGTGGACAGAGATGGGTAGGTAGAATTTCTGCCAACATGTGATCTCTCTGCAGTGTGTTAAGATGTAATGAGCAGAAAATGTTATTGTATGGCATGTCTGTTGTAAAACCTGTTGCAAAACCTGCGACAGGTAGAGACAGGTCCCGCTGCACCTACTTCATGGAGTAGTCACCTTTCGTTCTTAAGAAATTAGGTAAAAGCACTTCATGGATGCCTTGGAGCCACAAAAGGGGATTTTCAGCAAATTTGCTGCCTCGAGGAAAAAAACTGAGCACAAAGCTATTCATCTAAGTTTACAACAATGCATATTTTGGGGTTTTATGAGGAGGTGGGAACGGCTGTAGAACTGTTTATGGCCCCACTTTTAACCTTTTTTCTCCTCCAAAGAATGGTTAAATGCCCATGACTTGAAGGCAGGTATGACTACAAGACATCCAAAGATAGCAGAGACAGCTAAGTGTTTTGGTTGCTTTAAGGTGAACATGTGGTGTTGTATGATCCTAATTTCACTACTTGAATAATGCGAGGGGTGGGGTGGGTATCGATGCTCCCCTCCCTGATTCACGCTATCATTGAACTATTTGGTTAAGTAACCATTAGGAATGCATTGATCAGCTTATGGAGAAGTCTGGCTCAGCTCCTCAAGCACTCATCTTTGCCAATCCTCTCTTATCATTTCAAATCAATATCGCAATGAGAATTCTCCAACCCAGGTTACTCATGCGAAGTGTTTAACCAGCAGCTTTGTGTTATCTGGCCCCAGAAACCCCCCCCACCACCACCACACACGTGTGTTGTGATGTTGATGAGGCTCCATTATGGTGCTGGTAGGGGGTCCTTATACAATCTGAACGCTTTAGAGATTCTGAATGGGCTTTAGCACAGGATGGCCAGGTTAGTTTCTGCTACAGGGCCTAAAATTCTCATTTTCTGTGTCACTCTCAACCCAAATATGCTCCTCATTAAGTGAAGGCAGCAGCCCCATCTTTGTTTTCTTTTTTTCCAGAATTAAAAGTATTTGCATGTCAGCTCTGTTGAAATGAGCTTCAGTAATAACCGACAGGGCTGTCGCTTCATAGAGTTGAGTAACACAAGGCTGAAGGTTTCTTTCGCCCTTAGCTGCTTCTCGTTTTAGCTCTGTAATAGCTGCTGTGGTTTAGCTTTGGTGTGCTTAGACTGCCTGTACTTTCTCTGTTTGTGTGTGTGTTTTTTTTCTTTTTTAGAGGAAAGAGCCATTGGGTTTGGCGCCTGAAATAGATCACCAAGCTCAGAGACAACTTGTCCTACTCAAATGTCTCTTTACAAAATGGTAGTCTTTATCCTCTCAGTTATGGTGTGATAATCAACCATTTATTTACATACTTTTTTCACACGTACTGCTCCATGCCCCACACACAGTTCTACCTGACATTCTCCAGAACTCCCACTAAGATATAAAGTGTCATTTAACTCTCACATCAGTCAGTGTTTGACATCTCCTGGGTGGTGCCTCATACCTGTTTTGCCTGCATCATAAACTCTAAAACTGCTGGAGACAAAACAAGGATAACCTACCACTTCCAAATACCTGTTCCTGTTTCAGAGAGATAACAAAAATATTTGGACCGTAGAGATTTCATCCAAAGTCATGAAACGTTATTTTCTGCCTGAAAGCATTTCTGTATGTGCTGGTGCTTTTTGTTCTGAACGCGCACTCTCTTTGCTAACCCTAACTGGTTCATTTTTTAAACAGTTTTTGTGCAAGTCCCTCCAGCGTCCGCACAGCACAGTTGTCTGACAGAAAATGATGGCTGTGTTTGCCAGTGTTGCTTTTGCTTTTCACCCCAGTAGAGTGCATTGATTGCATCCATATGCCAATAGTTTCACTTCCCTTTAATTCAGAGGTTCAATACGGGCAGTTGTGCAATATCTGTGCTGGCAGCGACTGCAGGTTTCTGGGGAAAAGTCATTACGCAGGGATTATGAATTGGCTTCAGAACTTGGTTGCATTCACACCGCACAGCAAGACAGGGCAAGATTAAAACATCCCTGGTTTTCATGCACGAATCCCAGCATTGATAAACTTTGTTTATTTTATAAGGAGGATTGAAGGATTGGTCTTTGTTCAGTAGGGGAGCGAAGGAAGACCCATTTAGAAGCAAAATGGGGTGCTCTCAAGAAAGCACTTAAGCTAATTCTTCTGCATAACTCTGTAATGTGGTCCCATGGGATTCCAGGATTAATTGGATCCAGGTTCTGGTAATGGGACTGGATTGTGGTGTACCTGCCAGAGGGCTGCTTGTCTTTAGTAAAAGCTTATTTTAGAACCGAGTGTGGTCAGCGCTCATTTGGCACATAGTCTGCTAACGTATAGCAGCTAATGTTTGCACCAGTGTGCGGGCAGGCACATGTATGTTTGAACAGCCATGGCACACACACACACACACACACTCATGCTTGCAATAACAGCCTCTGAGGCCAGACAGAACTTGCTTCTTGTAGATTTTCTCGGGATATCTGGAGGGATCAGGCTTTGTGATGCAGCTGTTGGGGCCAACTGGGTCTGCCGTGAATAGGGAAGGGGGCCAGAGCCAGAGTGTGTGTGTAAGGCACAAGTGTGTGCGTGTGCGTTTGCTCTGTCTACTTGTTTCGTTGCACAACAGGAAAGGTAGAGAGTGAAGATGGCCCGATGGTGGGGGAGGTGGTATTTCTGGTAAAAGGGAAAGGGTAAGAGTGGTAAACAGACATGGTTGAACAGCTGTCCAGTCAGTCACTCCACAGCTCTACTGCTCTGACCCCCCCGTCACCCGACTATACAACCCCATTTCTTTGTTTTACCACTGATAAAAACCAGTTGGTCATTCTTACATCTCCTCACTTTGCTCTTCTGCTTCATATGGAAATCAGAAAATAAGTTGACCTGTTTTCATTTCTCAGGGCAGATGAGCTTTTCTTGACTGTCATAGATCTGTTAATCCTGGTGCCAGGCAGACTGGCCCTCTCCCCCCAGCCAGGAGACATGCGCCTGGCTGTGGCCTCGGGTCCCATCCACTCCAGCCCTCTGGCCTGCCCTGATCCGGTGAGGAGAAAGAGGCATCTGCTGCCTTTTATGGCAAATTCTTCGCTGGGAAAACTCTCACCAAGAAAAGACAAACCTGTGTGTGTGTGTGATAGGGAAGACAGGCCGTGTAAGGGGAGGAGTGCTGGCACAGAGGAAGTTTTCTTTATCCTAAAATAAAAGATCCAGAATTTCACCTCTTCTTACGACGTAAGTGCCGAAGTGGCGGAGGCGTTTTGTATGGAAAATGACGAAATTACTCAGAGAGAGGGGGGCAGGAAATGGCTCACTGAAACAGAATGTTTTGAGAAGGATCCTTTCACAGGAGTCGGCTAGTTTTTCCGAGAGGTTTAACTTAGCCTTTGAAATGTAGTTCGAGCTGACGGTATCAGTAGATGAAGCCCTTGCCTTTGCTAAAGCTCTTTCACATAATGGAACATGTAGCTCACAGAGCAAAACCACAAAGACCACATGAATCTCTGCGTCTGCCCTCATGAGCAGGAAGCCTTTTTATTTTCCTCGGAAAAAGAGGAACCAGACGTAGATAAGAAGACATTAAAGATATTTTGGGGCACTTTAAAGAAAGGTAATAGTTTTGGGGCTGGGTAGTTGTTATTGAAAGAAAGATCGAGGGGAAAAGCCACAAGCAGATAAAAAGAAAAGATGAAGCTGAAGCTCAGAGGTCTGGCACCTTTCAGCCCTTAACAAGTGTGTTTGGACAGGTGAGCCTGGTGCCATAAAAGGTAGAATAAAAGGGAAAATGAGGTGAAACAGAAAGTGGCCAGTCATTAATAATTAGCCAGGAGTGTTATCTGCTGTGTCCTTGGATTTTAAATGAGGCCACGAAAGCTCAGGTTCTACGTGACTGAAGGAGCGGAATGGCTCGATTAATCATGACTCGGCTAATGAGAACCCGAGCAATGCAACGCAAGCCCGTGTCATTCTGTCCGTGTTTTTCCTGAATCCCCGTTTCCACCTGAGCTAACCTCCTGCCAGGTGAATTAAGAGCGGTGCAAATGCATAAAGGGAAGACGTATCCCAAGCATTTCAGATTAGGCTGCCGGCTCTTTATGCCTTCGCCTTGTTTGCTGAAGTGGAAAGGTATCAGTGCTTCCCGGTGACGGGATTTATACCGCACAGGGTTTTTGACCTCCGCGCTGCCCAAAGAAGCCTCGTGCCTCTCAGTCCTGTCATGTTTTGATAATGTTTATTAGTTCCCATGGATATCAGCTGGGCCTGCGTCAATCTAACCCCCCGCTCCATTCCTTTCTCCCCCTCTGATCTTTCCCATACCTCCATCACTGCCGGCCGAACTGATTTCTAATCATCCAAATAAGTACAATATTTCAAAGGGGAGACGAACCCAAAACTTCTCTAAAAATGTGTTTTATTACAGTCGATGGGACTTTACAGCAGCGGGAAAGTGGTGTGAACCCTCCTTTGTCATTTGTGCTGTTAGAACAGCCCGTCTCTGGTCAGGAGACGGAAAAGCTATTTTTCTATAATGGCAGCGGACCTCAGAGAGCAAACTGGAAAGAAAGAAAAGAAACCCAAGCCAAAAGCACATAGCTGGTCACTGTGTTTTGACAGAGGGTGTGGATGGAGGAGGATGAGAACTAGAGAAAGAGTGGGCGAGTGCACTAAGGCTGGAAATGAGGGTCAACAAGAGCATAATAAATCCAGGGAGGGAAATCAGATTCCCTTGTCTTCAAACAGACCCCAGCAAACCGAACAGTGGCAGGGTCGGCTTGTGGGGGAAATGGAGCTGTAGGAACACGGCCGTTAATCAGTCGGCCCCAATCACGCCGGCTCCCACCTGTCACAGTTCTGAAAAAGGAAAACAGTGTGGCAGTCAATTGCATTAATCTGTTTTTGTGTCAAGCTTTTCGACCCTTGACCCCAGACTGCACTCCCTCCGCTGCCCCTGACAGCGAGCAGGAGCTGGGGGAGGAGAGGTTATAGCCCTGGAAGTGAAGGAAGGGTGTGACATGACACCCTCCTGCTAAAACTAGCAGTGGAAGTCCAAGGTGCCGGGGATGGCCGTCCTACCTGACGTAAGGTCAGAGGTCAGCGACAGAGATCAGACCCCATCAGAGGAGTGTTTGTGTGGTCGCTGCTGGGTCGCATTAAGCCATCCTTCCTGATTTGCCTCGGTTTCCCCGTTCCTCAGCGGTATTTACCCGCTAACGTATCCTAATTCCTCCTTCATATTCACAGCTTGGCGTTTGACCAGCACAACTAGAAAATCTGGTTCCATCTTTGTTTTGTTTTTCGGTTTTCTTAACGTCAAAGTGATGTAGAGCAGTTTGGAAAATTCCTATTCATGTTGTCTCTTTACTAAAGTCCCTATTTTCTCTGCGTTGCAGGAAGTCGAAGACGAAGCCAAATGGAAAGAAACCGCCAGCAGAAGAAAAGAAGCAGTACCTGGAGCCAGAGTTCACCAAAATCCGAGTGGTGGATTTCGACCTGAAGGAGCTGGTGGTGCTGCCCAGAGAGATAGACCTCAACGAATGGCTAGCCAGCAACGGTGAGCGGCAGCCGCCGTGCAGCTACCGAACTCTAGTGAACACAATCCACCGCCAAAGGGAGCATTTCATATGGTTATTCAACTTTTAAAAGCACATCAGCGACGTCTCTGTAAAGAGGGGACATTATCTCACTGGAGATGTGACGTATTCTTTAAAGCTTTGCGTTGGCTCCACCTCTTAATGGAACTGGAATAGTTTTCCAGTTCCATAGGCACTTGTCATGTGGAGATAACGAGAGGTTGCAGTGCAGGCGATCCCAGCCCTTAATAGGATCCAGGCCTGGCACTGCATCCAGTCTATTTCCAGTAACAGTCGTTTACAGCCACTCCCAGAGCAGCCTTTTAGTTTTTACTGAAATTTAGGGCTTCCATTAAGAGCATCGTTTGTTGACTCTACTAAACTTAACCACTGTCTGATGATCCTGATGAGGAGCTTTTTTGGTGTGTTATTTATTTATTTTCTTGCTTTTGTCCCTGACTTTGTTTGGGTTACATATCCACCCAGCCAGCTCCTCGCTGGGGTTGTCTTTGTTTTTTATCTTAGGCTGATATGATAAATAAAAAACAGATGGGGGGCGGGGGGGGGGGGGGGTGGGTATGTAACCCAGACAAAGTCAGGGACAAAAGCAAGAAAATAAATAAATAACACACCAAA